ATCGAATGAGATTATTACATGAAGCCATGGAAGCCGGTCATACCGGATTGGACAATGAATGGGTAGCTTTAATCGATGAACTACGAAATCGAAGGATTATTGCTTAATCATCGCATATAAAAGGAGGACAAGAATCGAGGGAACTCAGTTGAATCATGAGCGTGGACAAGTTTGGAAGGTATTCCAATTTTGGAGAAAAACCAAAACCCAATGGTAAAAGATATAGTTTACCATTAACAGCTGAAGGAGATTATAACATAAGCAGCAAACGATTGAAGTTTGTAAAAGATCCAGAAGATGATAATGATGCAATAAATTTGAAAACTTTAAAAAGTGAAAAATTGTTGAGCTTACAACTTCAAAACGACTCTTATAATGCCAAGTCTCATAGAATAACAAATGTTGGTGAACCAATAGAAAACTCCGATTCCGTCACCAAAGATTATTTACTTTCAAAACTGTCAAATACTTTACAAGTTAATAATGAAGTTTACGATGTTAAAAACAGAAGAGTTACAAACTTAGCTGATCCTGTCGATAGTCAAGATTCAGTCAATAAAGGATATTTACATTCTATAATCCCTGAAAGAAAAGAAGATAGATTCTCTTTTTATAACTTTGTTATAAATGATATAGGATACCCTAAAGAAGATTCGGATGCAGTTAACCTCAAATATGTTAAAGATAATTGTATTATTCACGATAATGAACAAATTGATTGCAAAGGTAAAATATTACATAAGGTTAAAGAAGGATTAAAACCAACAGATGCTGCCACTGTAAGTCAAATCATGTTACAAAAGAATGGAAATTGGCATGCTGAGAACAAAAAGATAACTAATGTAAAAGGTGGAGTAAATCCTGAAGATGTGGTAGTTTTTAAACAAGTTCCTGTAATAACCGATGAATATAAACATAATAATATAAAGACCACCACTTTTGATTGTAAAAACTTACCATTAGCAAATGTTCATAATGCAGTTTTACCTCACGAAGCGGTAACTTTGGATCAGATGAAAGATCATATAAAAAGCCAGTGTATAATAAAAGATGAACAAAATGAAGAAATATACACATGTAATAATAAAAGAATAACAAATCTTGAAGATCCACAACAAATGGATAATGCTGTCAATGTAAACTATCTTGCTAGACTTTTGGGTACTGTAATGTTTGATTTTCACAATATGATACCAGCATATCCAGGACATAACAAAGTGCATCCAGATCAAAGAGATCAATGGATTGATAGGGTTATTATGAAGCAATATTTTATGTCTAGCAGAACAAAGATGCTTAGAACTAAACCTGTAGAAAGATTTCACCATTAGAAAAATGTTTAAAATACAGTTTTACCTCACGAAGCGGTGACTTTGGATTAGATAAAAGATAATATATAAAAGCAAGTGTTAATAAAAGATGAACAAAATGAAGAAGTACACACATGTAATTATACAACATATTCAAAAATATAACAAAGAAGATGATAATACAAAAAGTATAATATGGATTGATAAAGGTACATAATAAGAAATCAATTCATAAATGAAACATTCATTGTCAAACACTTGAGGAGTGAAGCCGATGTGGGTACATTCCCCTATAAATAGAGATGTTAAAGGTAAAGCACATCAGTCGTGATATAGAGAGCTTGAAGAGAGGAAGAGGATTGACATCATCAGCAGTTTCTCTATTATCTAAACCAATTGGAGCAATTGTTAACAAAACAATAGATTTACTACCAGTAGAACTGCATTTGCCTGGAGGATATCAATACTGTGGACCTGGAACAAAATTGAAAAAACGTCTGGAAAGAGGAGATTCTGGAATAAATAAACTAGATCAAGCTTGCAAACAGCACGATATAGCATATTCAAAGTTTGCAGATACAAAAAATAGATCCATAGCGGATAGAGCGCTTGCTGAAAAGGCTTGGCAAAGAGTAAAATCTAGTGACGCAAGTTTTGGTGAAAAAGCAGCAGCTTTGGCAGTAACAGCAGCAATGAAGACAAAAACTACGTTTGGAGGAGGAAAGAGGAGGAAAGGCCGAAAACGAACGGTTAAAAAGCAAGGAGGTAGTATTAAAAGGAAAAGAAGGAATAATCAAAATAAAAAAAACAAGAAACCAACAATATGGTCAATGATAAAAAAAGGAGGAGGATTATACTTAAGACCATACCGTGTGTATTAAACAAGAAAAAACAAATACTAATTCCAAACAAAGAGTTGACAAATAAAGAATTAATTATATACGCTTCTTGTATGAAAATACCATTTTTTAGAGGAGTGTTTATGAAAGATGCATTGCCCGGTAAAATATGGAAAAATGAGACTGGAATAGTTAATTTAGAAAACAGTGAAGGTCCTGGCACTCATTGGATATGTTATAAAAAACTTGATCGAATTATTTATTATTTCGATAGTTACGGTAATATGCCACCACCTAAAGAGCTTCAACGTTACTTTCGCACAGCAAAACAAGTATTTTACAACTATAACAGAGAACAACCTGACAATACAACAATTTGCGGTCACTTATGTTTAGATTTTTTAGCTAGAAGCGTTAGTCAACTTTAAGATGTCTTCCTATACGGTCTCATTGACCGGCACTTCATCAACTCTGCGCAGTATTCTATTTCCAGCTCTACGATTGCAAAAAGGAAGATTATGGGAAGCTGCATTATTGGATTTAACAACATACAATTCTATTCCAAATATTTCTGAGGGAGTCAATAACAAATTACACTATTACAAAAGCAAAAATAATTTAGGAGAATTAACACCAATGAAAGAAATTAGTTTACCAACAGGATCTTACGAAATAGACCATATTAACGAATTTATACAAAAACAAATGAAAAACGAAGAACTTAACGAACTTGTTCAAAAGGAATCAGAAAAAGAATATATAACAATAAGAGGAAATAACAATACCATGAAAGCTGAAATAACTTCTTCCTATTATATTGATTTTACTCAAAAACATTCAATTGGAGGATTATTGGGATTTTCTGAAACAACTCCAATACTAGAACCTAAAAAGACCTATTCTGGCGATAAAACTGTAACAATACTGAAAGTTAATACGATAGACATTACATGTAACATTATACAAGGATCATACAGAGATGGAGAGAATAGTCATATATTGCACACATTCTATCCGACAGTCGCCCCAGGTTTTAAGATTGTAGAAAAGCCACAAAACTTGGTGTACCTTCCCTTAAACACCAGTGTTGTTTCAGACATCGTGTTGAACATACTAGATCAAGACGGAAACCTCATAGACTTCAGAGAAGAACGTATTACGATCAGGATTCACATAAAAGCATCCACCTAAACCATGGGATTGTCATTCAAGAAGAGAGAGTTGTCGGGTAAACACCTAACTAGCTCATCATCTGCAAAAGGATTTACTACTGAAAACATTCGGTTTTTACAGGATATTGGATTAAAACTCATTGAAAATGGAAATACTGGATATAGCACAAGGACCGACATTCGACGAGACTTTATGGGAAAAGGAGTATCACACGCACAACCCCTACGCTTCGTCAAAATTGAATAATAATGATGAAATTAGAATTCCTATACAACAACAGGATATTTACACTCTTCCGTGTGAAAGTTATCTATATATTGAAGGAAGAGTAACAAAAAAAGATGGAACAGCTGGAACCACCGTTCCTTTTATCAATAATCCAATGGCATTTTTATTTGATGAAATTAGATATGAAATATCGGGAGTAACTGTGGATTCTACAAAGAAAGTAGGTTTAACAAGCACATTAAAAGGATTAGCATCTTTGACACAAAACGAGAGGAATTTGTTAAGAATTGGAGGATGGGTTGCACCCGATAACGAGACAATCACCCCTGATTCTGCAGGGAACTTTGATTTCTACATACCATTGAAATTATTTCTAGGCTTTGCTGAAGATTACAGAAGAGTTATAATAAATGTGAAACAGGAATTAGTGTTATTAAGATCATCAAATGATAAGGATACTATTTGCGCAGCAACTGGAACCACTGATGCAAATTTAGACTGGAATTTAACTTTGGACAAAATCGTTTGGAGAGTACCACATGTGCGATTAAATGACGAACATAGAATAACACTGTTGAGACAACTGAAATCAGATAGAGATATTGTAATACCATTCAGAAGTTGGGAATTTCATGAATATCCAGTTTTACCTAAAACACAAAGACATACATGGACTGTAAAAACATCTACTCATTTGGAAAAAGCAAGATATGTAATATTTGCACTACAAACAAAAAAAAGGAATAATATACTAGCTAATGCCGGTCATTTCGATCATTGCAAAGTAACCAATTGTAAAGTGTTTCTTAATTCACAATTTTTCCCTTACGACAACTTTAATATTTCTTTCACTAAGAAGAGGTACACTGTTTTGTATGATATGTACGCTAGATTCCAAAGTTCATACTACGGGAAAACAAACACCCCGATACTGTCTCCCGAGCAGTACGAATCAAAAGCTCCAATAATTGTAATAGATTGTTCAATACAAAACGAATATGTAAAGTCATCAAGTGTGGATATAAAAATAGAAATGGAGTTTGAAGAGAACGTTCCTGATGCAACATCTGCATATTGTTTAATTTTGCATGATAAAATTGTAACGTACACACCATTGACGGGATTAGTCAAAACAGTGTTGTAAATGAGTTTCACCACAACCACCAGTCGGCTATAAAAGGAGGAGCTTCGCACACCACCAATCAGTCTTTGCTCGTTCGTTGAATGGGTAACATCCTACACTACATCATGAGTAAAATGAGTTCTCCATCAGTCGTACAAAAGGATGCAGAGGAAGCAGCATTATTGGATCAAGAAAACCATCAAGAAATCGTCAATGAAATAGAAGAGTTTTAAAAGTTTCGAAAACAAGAAGACAAAGAAAACAAGGAGGACAAGGAAGAAAAAGAAGAAAAAACTAAAAAAAATGGCACTAAAAGGAAGCGGAAAGATGATTCAATGATTCAATGATTCAATGATTTATTTGGCCATTAAGCAAAGCAATAGGCTAAGTCAATACAATACAATACAAAGTAAATAATAAATAGTCTCTTGATTCACAAATAAAATGCAGTTAGATAAATATAATAATAAGGAGAAATAAAACCATGCAAAACCATGCAAAAAAAAAAACAGGCAAGAAAATAGCCATGCAAGGCAGTCAGTGCATGAGCATTACCTATAACAAAACTGGTAGTCCTACTTTATAAAATTCAGAGAGGTCATAAAAAGGGTTTTCTATCAACCAGTCCTTCACTACTGCCTTGAACCTTGAAATAGGCAAGTCCCTTATGGCTACTGGTAGGTGGTTGAAAAATCTGTAACCTGAAACAGGGAAGCATTTAATTGTTCTGCTCAGCCTGTGTCTATGTGCAAAAACATTTAAACAATTTCTTGTGGCATAGTTGTGTACTTGGTTGTTTCTCAAAAGGTGCACTTCATTTGCCTTAATTTCTAAAAGACATTGAAAGATATATACATTATATACAGTCATGATGTGGTTTTGTTGGAACAGAGGACGGCAGTGTTCCAGGTACTGGGCTCCACTCAGCACCCTGACAGCCTCCTTTTGCAACACTAGGATTTTACTTACACCAGAAGAATGGCCCCAGAGCCTGGTTCCGTAAATAATGATGGAGTGGAAAAAAGCAAAATAAGAGGCTCGAATGAATTCCCCAGACAAGTCAGTACTCAGTCTTCTGAGCAGGAATATGACCCTGCTCAGCCTACCGCACACCAACTCTATGTGGTCTCCCCAGGTGAGGTGTGGGTCCAGAGTGAAGCCCAATAACTTCACAGGTCCAGTCTTTTCACATGCCATGTCCAGACTGAAGGTCATTGATTGGGTTTTGGACTCATTCAAAACAAGTTTGTTATCATTGAACCATGAGGTGGCCATGACAAGAAGGCTTTCAACCTTAGATCTAGAAATACTGAGGATGGGATCCTTGGCAAACAGGGTAGTGTCATCAGCATAAAATATGGCTCTACCAGACACATGGTAGTACAAGTCATTAATAGACACAAGGAACAGGAATGGGCCTAAAATGGAGCCTTGAGGAACACCATGATTCACAGACAAAAGAGAGGAGTTTCTACCTCTCCAAGATACTACCTGTTGTCTATTGCTAAGATAGGACCTGAGCACCTTGAGTGCATCGCCGCGTACGCCATATCTTTCCAGCTTCAGGATTAGGATATTGTGTGAAACACAATCAAATGCTCGTGAAAGGTCACAAAGCAAAACTGAGACATTTAATCTATTTTCAAGTGAGTTGAGCACAGTCTGGAGAAGGGAGTCCACTGCCGAGACAGTAGACCTGCCCCTCCTAAAACCAAACTGAGCTGGCACAAGCAGGCGATGGTCCTCAAAGTGCTCGTACAACTGTTCTAGCATAACAGCTTCAAACACTTTGGCAAATATGGGGATAATAGCAATAGGCCTATAACTACTGACATTGTCATGGGCTCCTTTCTTAAACACTGGGACTACCCTGGATATTTTCATTGCATCAGGAAAAATTCCCTCTTTCAAACAAGCATTGATCACATTTGCAAGGTGATTTGCAACATAGTGGACAAAACCTTTTAGCAGATCAGTTGACATATCAAAGTAATCTTTACTTTTAGATTGCTTGAAACTGTGAACAATTTTAATTATGTTAAGGGCAGTAACAGGCTTCCAAGAAAAGTTGAAGGGAACCAAAGGAACCTTTTCCAGGTTACATCCAGTACTGTCTACATTGGGGTTAGCCCCTTGTGAAATATTATTTACAGTGCTACAGCTGTTTACAAGTTCCTCCACAGAGTTAAGGAAATATTCATTAAAATCCTCTGCTTTAGCAAATTCACAACTAACAGGAGCTGACTTAGTCCTAGTTCCCTTAATAAAATCCCAAGCTGCTTTACAGGGATTAGGTGCCTGTGAGATAGATGAGGCAAGGTAAGCTTGTTTTGCCTCTTTTACTTTTATTTTATAATCAGTCCTCAAACTCCTTAAATAAGGTATGAGAGCAGGGTTACTTTTTGAAATATCGCTAACTAGGATTACTTGATCTCTCAACTTAGACAACTCTGGATTGTACCAGTTACCAGACTTCTTAATTTTATTGTTTTGAGTAGGCCTACTATCAGTTATCTTTGTTTTGAGTGGGACACAAGAGTCAAAAGCATACTTAATGTTGTCAAAAAAATATGTAAATGACATACAAGCTGGAAGATAGGCCAGAGATTCATTCCATAAATTCTGATATGATTTCAACACATCGTGAAATGCCTTAATATTTGATGGGCTGAGTAACCTAAAGCTAACCTTAAAACTAAGTTTACCAGCTAACAGTTCCTCCCCATTCAAGTCAAATTTAGGTCCAGTAGACAAACTTAGGATGACATGTTGATGGTCAGCAATCTGGTCTCTGCTAACCCAAGCACGATAGTTCCAGCAGTCAAAGTTGGTTAAGAATGTGTCCAGAGATGCTTTACCTCTTGTTGGCTCAATAATACTACTATATATATTGAAACTACGTAGTAGGTTTAAAAATCACGAGCCTCACTTGTAGGCTTTAGTAAATCTATGTTATGGTCAGTTCCAATAACCACAGAGAGACCAAGAGTGGTGAGATAATAAAGACATTGGTTCAGAAGTCTTAAGAAAGTGAGAATACTACCACTCGGTGACCTGTACATTGTAACAACAACAAGAGATAGTTCATGTATTGCTACAGCTGCAAATTCACCTTGCACTTCAATAGAAAAGTTACTTAGGTCCAAAGGTATACAGGTAAGTTCATTGCGCACAAACAATGCCACGCCACCCCAGGGGCGTGAACGACAAAAATGGGATACAAGGTTGAGATTTGAAATTTTACTATAATAGTCTATTTCATCGTTTACCATCCAATGCTCTTGAATACATAGAATGTCAATTTTTTGTTCCATGCACAGAGCTTCCAAAAGAGGAATTTTGTTTCTCAAGCTTTGAGTATTTACAGTACAAAAGTTAAAGATATTTTTACAAGCAGCACTGGGCTGACAGATCACATCCTTTTCCCTAAAAAAGTACGAGAGGGCACGTAGTCTCGGTTTTGTCTAGGCCTAACCTCAAACTCCTTAACTAAGGCACCAACTGGCCAAAAGGACGAATCGAGAACTCTGGTAATCTCCGCTGGAGATATTCCTACTTTAAAAGAACTGTACGAGTCGTACTTAGTATTTAATTTTACACACTCACCAGCTATGTTACTGTCTTGGAGGTATGAGGTAATTTCATCAGGTTTAGTGTCACTGGCCAATCTAGAAACGAACACCCAACTTTTTCTCTCAACCGCCCTAACCTTAGATTGGGAATTACTGGAATCGTTTAACTTACTCCCAATAATGATGGACTGCTTTCTATTGCTAGGTCGGGATTGTTTAGCCACTTTGGATTTCCACTCCTGATTACCAGATTTCGCGGTAGCCCTATCTCCAGCACCTTGTGTAGCCTGAGCATAGGACTTGGCCTTCACTGTAGGCCTATCAGATAACTTGGTGTTGTTTAGGTCTATGTTTATACACTCCTGAGAGGTTAATGGAAAGTCAGTTACTTGTACAGCAAGATCTTCCTCTTTGTTGAAAGACTCAGGTAAAACTAATTGACTAGATATATTAGCTTCTAGGCCAATATTGACATTAGGATCAACCGGCTTTGTATGTGAATCCAATATTAAATCTAGTTTGTTGTTGATGCAAGCATTATCAGATACAACTTTGTTAACAATTTTAAGTAAATTCACAATACTTGACTTAATTTCTTCAACATCTTCAGCCTTCTCAATGACTTTTTCAAACCTAACCTCACATGCACTACAAGCCCACTTGGACTTCTTACCTAATAAACTCATATAATTGTACTCTTCGCAACTTATTTGCACACATTCAGAATGATACCATTTACGGCAGAAAAATTCACAAAAAACTCCTTTACCATCATCTAAAACAGCATTTTTACAGACTGGACAGATATCTTCGTTCTGCCCACCAGCCATGACAGTTCCAACGAGATGAAGATACAATCCCAATTAATATTTTGAAAGAAGTTTTCCTACGCATTTACTATCCTATCTCACTATGTTTGGGTAAAAGTGTAACAGCTGGACTAATGAAATCTTCGGAATATACACCTACAGTAATCTTGCAGCATGGTACAAAAATGGTTATATTTTCTGAAACGGCATGGGAATCTTTTCTAAAACATTTAAATCTAATTGAATGCTACTTAAATACTAATGTTTGCGGAAGGAAAACTAATATTCGACTTTTGGATTCTGACAATGAAATTGACATAGTAAAGAATCGTGGAACACTACAAGTACGATTTAGAGATTTAACTCAACATGAAAGTAAAATTTTACTCTCACGTGAAGAATTCTACATTTTAATGCATGCAACGTCTCCTATCTCTAGATATATGAAACAACTTGTATTCTCAAGTTCAATCATCAAGGAGTATTTAATTGATACACTGGAAAAACAACCGGAAAGCACCATATTATACGGACACGTGGATACATCTATTTTTAATAGATTGCCTCATGAAGTTGGTATGTGGAGACAGTTAAGGAACTTCGAATCAATTGATGAAGAAGCGATAGAAGCTGTTGAAGAATATGAAACTATAAACCAAGAAGAACCAGCAACCCAAGAAGTGTAATTAAAGAAAAACAGTATAAAAGAGTGACCAAGGCGCGGTGTGAATTCAGTTGAACACTATACGTGGTGGTGTGTAGATAGGGTTAAACATTATGGATATAAAACCCTGTGTAATAGAATTTCAAGCATTTCGTGATAACAAAGATGAATTTGTGATAAAAGAATTAGTGATTTTAGATTTGATTACACATGTCGTATACCCGTTTATATTTGAAGCTCCATTTTCAGTAAACCAATTGAATGACAAAGCAAGAAGAACAAACAAATGGATAACCAAACATTTTCACCATATTCAGTGGAACGAAGGATTGATAAGTTATAAGCACTTGAACAATATCATGTATCATTTTTCTAACAAGTTTTCCCATATTTATACAAGAGGATCGGAAAAAAGACAATGGATACAACAATACACATATCACGATGTTTTCGACATAAGAATGGACAAGGATCATCAAATTAATTATGGACCTATTTGTACTTGAACAGATCACTCTTATCGCACAGTAACACAATGTGCACTAAAAAACGCATACCGATTAGCTAATTTTCTAGTTCTTCACTATTGGGACAAAAATAAATTCAAACAGCAACAGTGGAAGTATTGCGAAGGAAATAGCAGTGGAGGGGGGAACGTGTGCTATAAATACAGTGGACAGTCTCAGGATTCTCATCAGTATTACTCCAGACATCGCAGAGGCAACATCTCACAGGGTAGTCCTAATCAAGAAAATGGCTTCACAACAGTTTCTCCAGTCTTTGGTGGATCAGTTCAACACCCAGTCCAAATCCAGCATTCTAAGTACTAAGAAATGTCACGAATTGAAGGAACACAAACACTACATCGTTCACGAGCTGAAGAAGACAGAAACTTCACATGGAGACGCAATTTTAGCATCACTGAGCGAGGCACCGTTTTCACCAGGTGATGAACCGAAATTTCAAGTTTATCTTCCAAGACGATTTGTGCAGCAACTACAAAACGAAGACCTGCGAGGTATTCAACCAGGATCCCTCTATTTGGTATCACACGGAGTTTGCGGAAACAATTCCACTGAACTACCTCTACACATCACCCATCAATGTTAGTTTTAAGTTTTTTTCTGTAAATAACCATCTATGTACATATGTTTGTTACATGTTTTTGTCATTAAAAAAATAAATAAAAAAATTAAAAGAGGAAACAACATATCAGCATATAATTAATTCTATATGCTGATATGTTGTTTCTTTTTTAAAATTCAAACAAATGACCTTGAACTTTTTACTATAAATAACAGGTCTTACACGCAGTTGCTCTCAGTCTTGTTTCAACAATTCACCGAGCATCATGTCACAGCGTAAATACAATTTACCTTTTGTTTACAAATCCAAATACGATTTGGATAACTATTGTTGTAATTTAAAATGTTTTAGAAAGCCTGAAAGTAAAGTTGATGGAAAAGCTTGTAAAAAATGTGAGTCTGTTGGCTATTGCAAATGTAGGTGTAAAACATATCAAGACAAGCATCAAAATTACATACACGATCTAACACAAATGGTTAACCTACTATGGAAAAATGTAGACTAACTTGTGGCAGATGCATGAGAGCTGCTGACTCTTGCACTATAAATAGCAGCTCACAACACATTGCTTTTCATTCTTGTTTTAGAATTCAGTCGAGCAACATGTCACAGTGTAATTCCAATTCATCTTTTGATCACAAATCGGAATACGATTTAAAATACTATTGTTGTAATCTTAAGTGTTTCAAAACACCTGAATGTCAAGTAGATGGAATGGCTTGTAAAAAATGTGAATCTTTCTCCTATTGTCAATGTAATTGTAAAACCTATCAAGAAAAACTGAAACATCACTCACAAGACAAGGGACGTAGAATCAAAATACTTTTAAAACGGATGGAATGATGCCCTCATGATGCTCTCCCCCACCTCTACTACTTTCCCCCACCCCTACTGCTTTAGCTCCGCCCACTTCGTCAGGGACCTGCACTTCTTTACACACAACAGTCACTTCGCATCCAGCTCTTCACCAGTCAACTCAACCTTTCTCGTTTACTTTGCACAAGATGGCCAACCTACAACAACAACAACAGTGGACAAGCGATATTGAAGACTCTGACCTACACCAAGCATGCATCGAAGCAGAAGAGCAAGAGCGAAAACGAAAGGAAGAAAAACTACTTCAACTGCTAGAGGAGGAGAAAGAGATTCGCCGCAAATTTGATCGTGTTTGGTGCGCTCAGCCTCGAGACAACATCGAATGGGCCGAGCACAATGCAGACATGGCAAGATGGAAAGAGCTCCATAATACAATAGAGGAGTTGAAGAAGTAAACATCCAAGTACACAAGCGTCGCCGAACTACACAAAACGGCCTTTATAAAGGCCACCAATAAACTCATTCGTTTTACACTTTAGCAGACGCTCACTCTAGATACGTACGTTCGCACATGTTTTCCTTATTAATTGTAATATTTGTATTATTAATTACAAAAACATTACTAAAAAGTGTTCATTCATATATAATTATTATTATAAAAAACTTTAAAATATGTATTTATATTATGATAAAAAAAACCTGTCAATATTTTAATTGCATATTATCCTTCCTATAATATTTAGAGGGATGTCTTGTTATTTACAGGTATGTCTTGTTATTTAGAGGGATGTCTTAATATTTAGAGGAATGTCTTGTTATTTAGATGGATGTCTTGTTATTTAGAGGGATGTCTTGTGTTTTAGAAGGTTATTTTGTTACTTGGAGGGATGTCTTGTTATTTAGAGGGATGTCTTGGTATTTGGAGGGATGTCTTGTTATTTAGAGGGATGTCTTGATATTTAGAGGGATGTCTTGTTTTTTAAAGAGATGTCTTGTTATTTAGAGGGATTTTTTGTTTTTTAGAGGGTTGTCTTGTTATTTGGAGGGATGTCTTGTTATTTAGAGGGATGTCTTAATATTTAGAGGGATGTCTTGTTTTTTAGAGGGATGTCTTGTTATTTAGAGGGATGTCTTGTTATTTGGAGAGATGTCTTGTTATTTAGAGGGATGTCTTGTTATTTAGAGGGATGTCTTGTTATTTAGAGGGATGTCTTGTTATTTGGAGGGATGTCTTGTTATTAAGAGGGATGTCTTATAATTTAGAGGGATGTCTTGTTATTTGGAGGTATGTCTTGTTATTTAGAGGGATGTCTTGTTATTTAGAGGGATGTCTTGGTATTTGGAGGGATGTCTAGTTATTTAGAGGGATGTCTTTTTATTTAGAGGGATGTCTTGTTATTTTGAGGGATGTCTTGTTATTTGGAGGGATGTTTTAATATTTATAGGGATGTCTTGTTATTTAGAGGGATGTCTAGTTATTTAGAGGGATGTCTTAATATTTAGAGGGATGTCTTAATATTTAGAGGGATGTCTTGTTTTTTAGAGGGATGTCTTGTTATTTAGAGGGATGTCTTGTTATTTGGAGAAATGTCTTGTTATTTTAGAGGGATGTCTTGTTATTTAGAGGGATGTCTTGTTATTTAGAGGGATGTCTTCATATTTGGAGGGATGTCTTGGTATTTGGAGGGATGTCTTGTTATTTAGAGGGATGTCTTGATATTTAGAGGGATGTCATGTTATTTCGGGGGATGTCTTGTTATTTAGAGGGATGTCTTGTTATTTAGAGGGATGTCTTCATATTTGGAGGGATGTCTTGTTATTTAGAGGGATGTCTTGTTATTTGGAGGGATGTCTTGTTATTAAGAGGGATGTCTTATAATTTAGAGGGATGTCTTGTTATTTACAGGTATGTCTTGTTATTTAGAGGGATGTCTTAATATTTTGAGGAATGTCTTGTTATTTAGATGGATGTCTTGTTATTTAGAGGGATGTCTTGTTTTTTAGAGGGTTATTTTGTTACTTGGAGGGATGTCTTGTTATTTAGAGGGATGTCTTGTTTTTTAGAGGGTTATTTTGTTACTTGGAGGGATGTCTTGTTATTTAGAGGGATGTCTTGGTATTTGGAGGGATGTCTTGTTATTTAGAGGGATGTCTTGATATTTAGAGGGATGTCTTGTTTTTTAGAGAGATGTCTTGTTATTTAGAGGGATTTTTTGTTTTTTAGAGGGTTGTCTTGTTATTTGGAGGGATGTCTTGTTATTTAGAGGGATGTCTTAATATTTAGAGGGATGTCTTGTTTTTTAGAGGGATGTCTTGTTATTTAGAGGGATGTCTTGTTATTTGGAGAAATGTCTTGTTATTTTAGAGGGATGTCTTGTTATTTAGAGGGATGTCTTGTTATTTAGAGGGATGTCTTCATATTTGGAGGGATGTCTTGTTATTTAGAGGGATGTCT